GATGCGGTCTTGGCAGCGCAGAAGCGGACTGGGGCAGCTGGGGGCTTTCTTGCAGAAGCGGAATGCCGCCGCACCTGCGGAACCGCAGAAGCGGTCCAGTGATTGCAGGTGCTAAAGCCGGGGCTGGCCAGTGTCATCTTTAAAACGAGGTTTTGGCTCTATCTCACTTCATTTAGCCCATGAGAGCCGATTTTGGAGCATTTTTTGTTACACCCCATATTTTCGTACATGGAAGTACACCATAAGTAAATTGATATAAGATCGGAAATGAGATGTAGCGTTCCGCATTTTCATACATTGAAGTTTTATCGTAAGTTAATCGACGTAAGTTCGGGAATGAGATTTATTTTGAGATTATAAGTATTATGCTATTTCAAACAAGTAATAAGTAAATTCGTGAAGGTGAGAGGGTAAGCGAACCGAAGAAAATGAATTTCGTCGAAATTTGTCATTTTGGAATAAAATACGGCCGAGCTAAAATGCCCGGTATTTATGGACTAGTGTCATACAAGGTACTACATGACCATGATAGTACGGTATATAAAGTGTGCTAAAATTAAATAGTATTTCAAGTAATTTGAGATAATTCTTAATTAAGTGGATAAGAATAATTTTTGGGCTGCCACATGGCATTAAGCCAAGCCAAGTGGCATGAATATGCATGATGAGTCAAAAGGCTTAATTTGCCACATAAGAGTCTTATGGATAACCACCTTGGTTGATGTCTTAGTTGGGGAATGTGAATTAAATAAAATCAGCCACGTTACCAAATACTTTTCCCTAGTAATACCATTACAAATTAAAGAAGTAGTGATAATCTAGTGCTACTCCATTTGTGAAGCAAGCTAAAGAACATGGCTTTATTCACCATTTCACATTCAGTCATTCTTTCACATATTCTGATTGCTTTAGTTTGTTTCACCAACCCATGCTTCAGCTTCAGAGCTAAACATTTTAATTCTAACGGAGGAATTCTCAACAAATGAATTCGTTTGAATTTAACAACGCTACAGCAGTGTGAGACGCAATTCGGAGGAAGCACGGTACAATCTTTCTCAGGAATATCATACAGGTTTTTCCCTAATTCGATCCGCCGTTATGTCTTCTTCACAAAAGACATGTGTTAGAGGAATTGTCAAGAGAATCGGTCCAGGTATGTTAAGGCTATCCCTTATTTCTTTTGGCATGATCCATACGACGCGAACGAAACGAGCAAATGCACAACTTCCATAAATGACTCTATTCATAGAAATACTAGGGGTGTCTATATTCTTGATTCCCCATGTGAATTATTATTATATCTTTTGTTCATGGGTCTCAGAAAAATACGTATTCGATAAAGTTTATCTGACAGGTATGTTACTTTTATGACATTCCGAGATAAAGTTTATCTGACAGGTATGTTACTTTTATGACATTCCGAGGAATCTTATCGTATTTCTTATGCATTTCATACATTTATACATGTACATTGACCCATGACCAGATGGCGTTATATATATATATATGTATATATATATATATATGGGAAAATGTTACGGCGTTATATACGCACCACCATCTATCAGCTGGTATACGTTGATTATTTTGCCTACAGTGGCCGAGATGATATGATGGGATGCCCTCAGAGGCCTGATGATGTTATGAAACATGTATGCACGACATGACATTCATACGCATATGCATGACACTATAATTATTTCATGATTTGCAGAGTTATCCAGACTTACAGATTGTATCATTTACTCTATATTTTTTTCATGTCTATTATGTATTTATTTATGTGTCTTACATACTCGGTACATTATTCGTACTGACGTCCCTTTTGCCTGGGGACGCTGCGTTTCATGCTCGTAGGTCCCGAAGGGTCTTTTGGATAACCACCTTGGTTGATGTCTTAGTTGGGGAATGTGAATTAAACAAAATCAGCCACGTTACCAAATACTTTTCCCTAGTAATATCATTACAAATTAAAGAAGTAGTGATAATCTAGTGCTGCTCCATTTGTGAAGCAAGCTAAAGAACATGGCCTTATTCACCATCTCACATTCAGTCATTCTTTCACATATTCTGATTGCTTTAGTTTGTTTCACCAACCCGTGCTTCAGCTTCAGTGCTAAACATTTCAATTCTAACGGAGGAATTCTCAACAAATGAATTCGTTTGAATTTCACAACGCTACAGCAGTGTGAGACGCAATTCGGAGGGAGCACGGTACAATCTTTCTCAGGAATATCATACAAATTTTTCTCTACTTCGATCCGCCGTTATGTCTTCTTCGCAAAAGACGTGTGTTAGAGGAATTGTCAAGAGAATCGGTCCAGGTATGTTAAGGCTATCCCTTATTTCTTTTGGCATGATCCATACGACGCGAACGAAACGAGCAAATGCACAACTTCCATAAATGACTCTATTCATAATAATACTAGGGGTGTCTATATTCTTGATTCCCCATGTGAATTATTATTATAACTTCTGTTCATGGGTCTCAGAAAAATATGTATTTGATAAAGTTTATCCGACAGGCATATTACTTTTATGACATTCCGAAAAATACGTATTTACTCATATGATTAATTTAAAAAATAATTGAATTGGATTCTCTTGCTAAATAATTGATTAAAAAATTTAATTATTTGTTTTTAACATAAAAAATAATTTATTCTGTGTTGATTCAGATCTTAATATTATTTCATCTCTTGTTTTAAATATTTAACCTTAATTATAATTTTATCCACCATAAATTTTATTTTCAAAGAGTAAAAGATTGATATGACATTTCACTTTTAGATCTTTATGCTTGTAGAATCATTAGTAGTATTGACTCTTACCAACCATTTTTTTTTCTCTTTCTCATACATTTATATTCTTAAATATTATCTTAGTTGTTATTTAATAATTGGGTATTTTTTAATATTACACGAAAAATTGATTAAAAATATTATTTGAGTAGGAAAATAGTTCAAATATAATATAAAAATATATTACCGTGGGGGTATTTTTTTTTTCTCAATTTCAACTCTTTATGCAGTCCATTTAATATTACTTTTATTTTTTTTGGTATTGAACATTATGGAGTGGTAATGTATTGCCAATACGGATGATTCTTATGAAATTGATTTTATTAAACCTTTCTACATATTTTTAATAAGAATTTAATAGACAAAATTATTAATTTTAAAATATTAAATATTAAAAATTAGCATAGAAGGTATTGTAGTCCAAAAAATTGGTTAGTGCAGTTAGGTCCTTTCCCTATGAGTTATTCCGTTTAATATTTTAGGGCTATTTTGGCATCTTAATATTGTATTTATGCTTTTATAATGATATAGGCTATCCTTTTTCTAAATAGATTTGGACAATACAATACATTCTCAAATTAAATTAATAATAGGACATTATAATACGTTTTCAAATTAAATTAGTAATAAGAACTTTTAAGAAGTATATCCTAAAAGTAATAGGATTACATGACTAAAGATATTTACTTGTTCAATTTCATATGAATTAGACAGCCCGAAAGTATTTATAATAATAGAATTCCTAAAGGTAATCATGTAGGATTCATAACGTGTACTATTATGTCCTAAAACTAAAAGGATTATAAGGCTCATATCTAGAATTCCGATTATGTCCTTTTATTATGAGTTATTATGCTTAATATTGTAAGGTTATTTTTGTAAACCGACATTGTATTCATGCTTTTATAATAACATAGATAATTAAAGAAAACCAAAAATTTGGTCTTGGTGTAAGAATTGCTGGTTTGAGAGATGAATTAGTACTTCAGTACTTGGTAGTTAGTAGTAGTATAACATCCACTTTTAATCCTATAGTAAAGGTATACACCTTATTTATTATAAACCAAAATTATTTTAAAATATTATTTTCTATAACTACCTTTTATATTTAATAGCAAAATAAGTATTTATGGTATATACTACCATTGAGGCATGAAATAAGGCATGAAATATGCTATTTAAGTCTTTCCTCTCTCTTAGACAGCTGGACATACCTATTTTTAAGGTGATTGTCGTTACTGTATTCATGAATACATGACGCGAATACATGTGAATACATGCGCGTACAACTAGACTGCCTTGATTTTAGGCGCTTTTTATTGCTGTATTCATGAATACAGCAGATCGACGCTTTTTGCTATTGTATTCATAGATACATGGCGCGAATACATGTGAATACATGCGCGCACAGCTGGACTGTCATGATTTTAGACGCTTTTTATTGTTGTATTCATGAATACAGCAGCGCGACGCTTTTTGCTGTTGTATTAATGAATACATGGCGCGAATACATGTGAATACATGCGCGTACAGCTAGACTGCCTTGATTTTAGGCGCTTTTTATTGTTGTATTCACGAATACAACAGCGCGACGCTTTTTGCTGTTGTATTCATGGATACATGGCGCGAATACATGCACGTACAGCTGGACTGTCCTGATTTTAGGCGCTTTTTGCTGTTGTATTCATGAATACATGGCGCGAATACATGTGAATACATGCGCATACAGCTGAACTGCCCTGATTTTAGGCACTTTTTACTACTGTATTCATGAATACAGCAGCGCGAATACATGTGAATACATGCGCGTACAGTTGGACTGCCCTGATTTTAGGCGCTTTTTGTTGTTGTATTCGAAAATACATGTGAATACATGTTCGTACAGCTGGACTGCCCTGATTTTAGGCGCTTTTTGTTGTTGTATTCATGAATACAGCAGCGCGAATACAGCGAGCACACTACCGTAACAACTGGATAGTAGCTATAGGAAGTTAATAGCCAATCTTAATTACAGGAAGTTAAGAGCCAGTAAACAGTAGCGGTTTCCGAAAATTCCTCTGTTGAAAAATCATTACTAATTCTATACTAATATCTTCAATTTGATGTTAATTTCTTCTTCATAGAAATGGCGGCAACTTATCATGATGAACCAAAATAAGTAATTTATTATTTGTCTCCTCGATCTTGGGTTAATCTATCAAATCAATGCTCATAATATAATTTTTAGTTGCCTCCCACTCTGCACTCCATTAAGCAATTAATTAAGAAGTAAAGGGAACTAACTCTGTTGCTCTATCACTTACCATCTTCTTCAATTGGCAAGTCATGGCTGCTAAGCCCCAATTGCAAAATGGTGAAGGCTCTTCCCATTGGAAGTCTTCTACTAACATTACTCAACCCAAGTTCTTCAAGATTATTTTATCCCAACATGAACGCAGCCGTCTAGTAACCAATCTCTTCCTTCTTCCTTTTTTTCCTTCTTTTGCTGCTATTTTGAATCTATGTCCTATGTGTGTGTAGATGTGTTGAACCTAAGATTTTTGTGTGCATACATCAGCTATAATTTTCTTTTTGTATCATTTAGTTCTTCTTATTTCACCTGTAATCACATGTCTTGACTTCATGCTAAGCAAATTAAGACTGAGATTTAGATCCTATGAGTTCTTTAGAAGAGAGTCTGAGATTATTCTTTCCATGTAAACTCGTTAATTCAAGTATCACAAATTCACAATATAAAGGAAAAGCAAGAAATAAGAGTGATGTATGCATTTTTGTCTACACTTCCTCCATATCATTTGCGTGATAGTGTTTGATTGGCCACAGAATTTTAAGGAAAAAATAAAAACCTTTTAAAACTTGCAGTCTTAAACATCCTATCCTATGACATTTTTGTGCATTCATTTCGGAACACACTAAAAAGAAAATAGTGTCACATAAATTAAAATGAAACAAAGCAGTAAATTTTATTTTTCCAATTTGAATATGGGCAATGACTCTGAATTTACAATTTAATTTCTCAGGGCTAGTAGTTCAGATCATTAGAAAACATTTGTAGGTCAGTGCTGGCAGTGATACAAAATGAGAAATAAGTTATATAAAAGTTGGGAAAAGAGTATAATGAAGAAACTAACAAAGGCTGTTAACAAATTTAGGCCTATGATTTTGTATGAGTTACAGGAATTCATGGTCAATTTTAGGTCTAGACTTCTATGAAAGAGTAAAGTAGCTACATTAAGGGGAACAGTATGAATGAGCAACTTTATGAAATTGTTAATCTTATTGGAATACATTAGTTTATTTTCCACATCTGTTGCTTAGATCGTCTGATACAGAAGAATGAATTCATATCTTCTCATAATCTATAGTAAAATTGAGATTTCGCAATTCACAGGTTAATTACATCCAAAAATATCCGCTATCTTTTCTAGTTGGCCTAATTAGATTACTGTGGGTATTTTTGTTTTAGTAGTTAATTCTGAAAGAACAGAGAATACACTATGCAAGTATATTGGAGGATTTTCTCAGGAAAATAACAGGTATATTTTACTGTGATTCCAGATGTATGAAACTGAGTCCAGGTCTCCTTTGTATGCAGAGGATTCCGGAAGACTTTGCGAGCAGATATTGCAAGAACATGCTAAACCCTGTGTATCTTGAGGTTCCCACTGGAGAAGTATGGGAGGTTGAAGTGGTTCATTCTCAAGGCCAAATTTGTCTAGGCATTGGATGGCAAGATTTCAGCGACTTCTATTCAATAAGCTGCGGGCACTTTTTGATGTTTGGATACAATGCTCGTTCTCATTTTAATGTCACTATATTTGATTTGAGTGCATCAGAAATTGAATATCCATACAGTTCTGCCCATGGTATACACACTCCCATTTCTTATTCCCATGAAACACGCCATGCACCAGAAAGAGACCAGTCCGAGTCGGATGATTCTGTAGAGATCCTGGAGGGTATTCCCAGAAGCCAGAAAGCGAACCCAATAGTTCCTTATATGGTTGAGAATTCTGTTGAGAACCTAGACCATTGTCCATTAGGACAGTCCAGCAAAAGACAAAAACAAGAAGGAGACACAGAGGATGATGTTTTTGTTGACATGCATATCAAAAGAATGAAGGTTGAGAAGTTGCAAGAGGATGTAGCTTCTTTCACACGAGAAGGCCAAAGTGAGTATTGTATCTGCTCTTATTGGCTATGAACTGAATATTCTGTACAAGTTTAAGTTCTATACACTGCCGGTGTAAAATATATTTACACAATCATGTAATTAGGTAATTACAAGTAAATCTTTATGATAAGCTTCAATTAGTAGCGGGGTTAAATGGTAACTAATCTACTATCACAGGTTAAACTACACTGATGGTGTAAAATATCTTTACACTGGCAGATGTATATAACTTAAATCCATTTAGTATTAACAAAATAATCTTAAATTTCTATTTGAAGAAAGCTGTGAAGGCTGTTGTACGCACATGCAGCAATCCAAGAATGTTTATGATGAGAACAAGACAGTAATGGACAAAGAAAGGGCTATAGCCTATCAAAGAGCAAAAGGTTTTAAATCTAAGAATCCGTTCATTATATCTTTTATGCAACCATCATATGTCTTCTCTCCATTCAATCTGGTAAGTTACAAGCTATAAACTGACTGATCTTTCTTGTTCCATCCTGCACAACGTTAAAATCGATTTACTGAGCTATCTCCTTTGGCAGTCCATGTCATTGAAATTTGCTAGGAAGTATTTCCTTGAGAACTACAGAAATTTAGTGCTTCGTGTTCCAGGCAGGGGATCTTGGTCTGTCAAATGCACTTTCGGAACAACAAATGCTAAGATCTTCTGGAAGGCATTCGTGATGGACAATAAGTTGAAACCTGGTGATGTTTGCGTCTTTGAAGTGATTAAGGGCGCTAAGCTCTTGATGGATATCACAATATTTCCAGCTGCTGGAAGCACACCAATGCATAAAATAGCTGGAGAAGTGCCAGGGGTTTCAGATAAATCTGTTCCATTTTCTCAATCCAGAATAGTTCAGACCAAGAATTTAAAGCAGCGGAGAGGAGGTGCATGTGGTTTCAATTCAAAAGTTAAAGGTGATGAAGTTATTCTCTTTATAAGATATTCTGAAATATACGTAATGATCAGATACTTACATTTTAGCGTCCATTGTACAAGTTAATTTCTTGATAGTTTTGAAAAGGTTATATTTACTTGAATTTCAGCAGAACATGGCGAAGGCACTGGGATTGAACATCCTTTTGAGATTTTGGGCCATTGTCTGTTAGGACAGTACAGGAAAAGAAAAAGACTAGAAAGGGATGCAGAGGATGATGTTCCATTTGATACTCACACCAAAAATATCAAGGTGGAAACGTCACAGGAGGATGTAGCTTTGCCTTCTTTCAGAAAGACCAAAAGTAAGATAGTGTTTACTCTGACTTACTGGCTATGAACAGAATTGATCATCTGCTTACATGACAAATAGTAATACATAGATTTTGAATTTCTGTTCGAAGAAAGCGGAGAAAGTTGCAGGATGCACACGCAACAAACCACGATTGTTTGTGGTAAGAACAAAGCAGTAATGGACAAAGAGCAGGCTATGGCATATCAAAGAGCAAAAGCTTTTAAATCTAAGAATCCATTCATTATATCTTTTATGCAACCATCATATGTTTCTAAACCATATAATCTGGTAAGCTATAAGCTATATACTTTATAGAGTTTCCAGTATTCTGATCTTTAGTCAATCCATATGGATGCATGCTGTTATACTCAATTTACCATATCCATCTGTTTTGGCAGAACATATCAGCCACATTTGCAAGGAAGTACTTCCGGGATGAATATAGCAATTTTGTACTTCGTGTTCCAGGCAGGGGATCTTGGTCTGTCGAATGCTTCCTGGGAACATCAAACGCACAAATTCGTTCTGGTTGGAAGGCATTTGTGCTGGACAATAAGTTAAAATATGGAGATGTTTGTGTCTTTGAAGTGATTAAGGTCACTAAGCTCTTGATGGATGTCACCATATTTCCAGCAGCTGGAAGCACACCAATGCTTAAGATAGCTGGAGAAGTGACAGGGGTTTCTGATAGTAAAAGAAAGATTATCAAAACTGATATTTATGTTCCATGCTCTTCTCCAAAAGTAGTTCACACCAATAGATTAAAGCAGAGGAGAGGAGGTTCATATTTCACATTTTTAGCGTTCATTCTTCTAGTTAGTTTTCTTGATCTTTTCAACAAGGTTATATTGGCTTGAATTTCTTCAGAAGAACATGATGAAGGCACTGGGATTGAGAGTTCTGTTGAGATTCTAGGCCATTGTCCATTAGGACATGACAGCAAAATAAAAAGACTAGAGGAGGAGACAGAGGATGATGTTTCAATTGACATTCATGCCAAAAGTATCAAGGTGGCGAACACACAAGAGGATGTAGCTTCACCTTCTTTTACAGGAAAAACCAAAAGTAAGAAAGTGTTTACCCTGGCTACTAACAGAATTGATCATCTGCTTAAATGACAATTTAGTAGTAATACATTGATTTTGAATTTCTCTATGAAGAAAGTGGAGAAAGTTGCCGGATGGACAAGCAACAGTCCAAGAGGGTTTACGATAAGAACACGACAGTATTGGACAAAGAGAGGAGTGTAGCATATCAAAGAGCAAAAGATTTTAAATCTGAGAATCCATATGTTATGTATTTTATGCAACCATCGTATGTCTCGATACCATACAGACTGGTAAGCTAAGCTAAACTTTATGGACTGAGAATCCATTTAGTGCATGCCATTATGCTCAATTTACTATGTCCATCTGTTTTGGCAGGACATATCATTCTTATTTGCTAGGAAATATCTCTGGGAGAAATGTGGCTTTTTAGTGCTCCGTGTTCCTGGCAGGGGATCTTGGTCTATTAAATACGTCCTGGGAAAATCAAAAACAAAAATTTGTTTCTATTGGAAGGCATTCGTGCTGGACAATAAGTTAAAATTTGGTGATGTTTGTGTATTTGAATTGATTAAGGGCACTAAGCCCATTTTAGATGTCACTATATTTCGTACAGCTGAGAACAAACCAGTGCATAAGATAGATGGAAAATTGCCAGGGGTTTCTGATTGTAAAAACAAAACTATCAAAACTGAGAATTCAGTTCCATGTTCTCAATCCAAAATAGTTCGAAGCAGGAAACTGAATCTTGAAAAGCAGCAGAAAGGAAATTTAGATGGTTTCACTTCAAAAACTAAAGGTGATTGAATGCCTCGCTACAAAGTATTCTGATGTATACAGAAAGATCATACCTTTAATTTTTAGGATCAATTAAAGGTACTTTCTTGATTGTTCAATGTGGCCGTGTTGGCTTGATTTTCTGCAGAAGAACTCAGTGAAGATGCTGGGAAGCATGTGCAACAATCCAAGTCTTCTTGTAAGGGCAGTGCAGTGGCCAAAGAAATGGTCTTAGCATATCAAAGAGCAAAAGCTTTTACATCAGAAAATCCATTCTTCATATGTTTCATGCAACCATCATATGTGTCTTCTGCCATCGGACCGATGCAATTGGTAAGATAGCTATTCTTGCATATATATCTTAGTGACATAAAGCTAATCCCTGATTATAAGGATTATCACTGTTAATTAATGATGAATCTTTCGTTCTGTATAATAATGCATCCTTCAAATATACAGTCCATAACGCTGCCGATAGCTAGGAAATTTTTTGCTACTAAACATAGTGATGTGATACTTCAAAATTCAAGCAAGAGATCATGGGCAGTAAAATGTAGTCTTGGAACAGTAAACGCTAAGTTGACCTCCGGTTGGAAGGAGTTTGTGCTGGACAATAACCTAAAAGTAGGTGATGTTTGTGTGTTCGAAAGGGTTAGTAGATCTAAACTATTGTTCAATGTCATCATATTTACTTCTGCTGAAGGTATGTAAGATGGTTTCACTTGTTTAGTACTTTAAACTCCTATGCATATTTTGTTTAACTAGTCTATTTTAGTTGCTTGTTTTTGAAAGGGAGGAAACGATGTATATTATTCTCCCTAAGCACAACCTTAGCTTTTGGTGTATTTGAATTTGTAAACTTGAACTTGTTGTAAAGAGTTGAGCTTGCTCGACTCCATGTTGTATAGAATGCAGCTCTATGTGGTTGTATATAGCAATAATTTTAGGTCATTTTTCTTATGGAATAGTTTCACAGTTAAACATGCACATCTGATCATCTACAGGAACCTTCCTTAACAGGTTTTAGGTCATTTTTCTTATGGAAGTCAAGGGGGAGAAATTCATAAATAATCAGATTTACGAGTGGTCATTCAAAAATAGTCACAGTTTTAAAAGTAATCGAAATTTAGTCACGTAAAGATAAATCTGAATGAAAACACTGTTCAAAATTCGGAAAATACTCCAGTATATTATAATGGAGTTCCAGCATAAGTATACTAGAATTTGTCTGCTTTAAGGAAATCATGTTTTCATAAACTATATATAGAACTAAAAAGTTTTTTAATACTTATTTTTCTATTTTGTGTATTAGTACATGACGTTAGTCTCAATTAAAAAAGTCTCTTAACATTAATAAATTAAAGTTTTTTCTCCCAACGAATTAGAGTCACGTTCTTTGCTTTTTTAATCCTTATATGGAAATTTGTTTGAGTAGCTAAAAGCTAGTAGTTTCCATGAATATAAAATTCTAATTGACGTCTAATTCCTAAATGTTTGAAAAGTTATAAATAGTACAATTTTATCCAATATGTTTAGAAAAATTGTTCAATATTTTATGGGAAAGAAAATAATATGGATTCCCGTATATCTATATGTTATTATCCTACTTGAATCTCAAAGTGCTTAACTATGTACACCTGGAAGTATTTAAACCAAAACATGAGAGTACTTAGAGTGCAGAAAATTATAGTTATAAATGTTGGGAAATATTCTACCCTATAGACGCTGCAAAATTTCCATATGATGGTGGAAGAAGTCGAAGCAACACATAAATATCACACAATTTAATTTATATCAATGATATAAACACCGCCCAAATCAATTGTCTAAGGACATAATCCAAATCGATATCAACAGAAAAAAGGAAGATACAAAATATTCTATAATATAGCCTGCAAGCATTTTATTATTCAACAGTAGAAGGTACTTCATCAAATTTAGAGAAAGCGGGACTAAATTGAATTCAACTTTAAACTGCACTAAATATATTTATATTCGATCGATTTATTCCTTTAAATTCGGAAGTAGAATTTATTTAGAAATCTATTTTTATTATGTTTACCAAAATATCATATAGATTTATGTCAAGAATATTGTAAGTAACATTTATCCTTCGCGCTCTTTTATAATCGGGTTTTCGTATCCTTCTTTAGTGAGAATTTTGATAATTTTAGAATTCACTACCATATTATCGGCTTTCACGCTTGAAATCTCCAACTTAAAAGTAAAAACGTCTTTGCATGTAAAATCAATAGACACTGACGTATTATATGGTATAAACTTAAAGTTTTTGGCACTCTTCTTGAGGAAATTTACTGTGTAATAAAAAACAAACAACATTCTTGGCATTGGCAAAAATTCAAAGTAATACTAAACTTTTAATTTCAATATTCATAATAATATTTTGCATAAGAATATAATTAAGCTAATTAAAGAATCAACTTAATTTTAGAGAAAATATTAAGCTAAAAATAAAAATTCTAGGAGCATCATAATGCGTGTCATGTTTAATCTTTAGAAGAAAATGATTCTCTTCGTTTCCCTCGTCTTGTAAAACATTGCATCATAATGTTAATTATGTTTTATTCTCGTGGGTTTTTGAAAGAACCCTAATATGCTTGGTTAAAGGGTGCAGAAGTCGGTATACATGAGGTATCTCAAATAGCTGAGAAACTGAATTTGATTAATATTAGAAGTCCATGATAATCGTAGTGTTAAGCATAGTTTAAAATATCAGTTTTACCCTACTTGATATTATTCGTCAATTAATATCCTAAGGATATTTTGGTAAACTAATATTATATTCATGCTTTTATAATAGTACTAGTTACTATGTACGTGCGTTGCACGTAAATATTTAGTCAGAACTTTTATGTGAAAGAACAACTAAGTAAATTTAGTAACCAATTATTTACAAGATGATATGATCATTATAAAGTTATTAACGTGATAAAAATACAACTGTTTAAATGCTAAAAACTAATGTTATTATATTAATAGAGTACTTGAATTCAAAATGATATCGTCTTAACTTATAAAGACGATCAATTTAGTTAAGTTAAATGATGTCCTATTTATAGTGTATATTTAGTGTGGTAGTATCATATATAATACTTCTTTATAGAGGACATTCTTGGTGTATATTTTCTTCTATAACTTTGGCTTCTCCATCTCAAAAGTTTGTCCCTCTTTGAATCACCTCTATAAAGTATTACTTTTCACAATTGTACTTTGACATATTTGTGAGGTTTGTAATTGAGAGTTATGTCAAAATTAAATTATGTCGATATAACCCGAGTAAAATTATTATTACTTTATCATATTCAAAGCAATAAATATTAATCAAACAGGTGTTTTGATAAATCAAGTCCATGATTAATTAAGATATATATATATATCTGCTTCCCAAAATAATATCAGATAAATCTTTCTTTTTGTATATATCTATAATATTTTTTAGCTAGCTAATGCAATAATTTTCAACAAAGCAATCAATTTTGTATTTTGACCTAAATTTAACCATTTTATACTACGTGATTATTTAGTAAATTGCAAAGAATTTTAGTTTTATACATTTTTTCATCAAAATGATCACCCCGCTCATCAAATATAACAAAACTAATATTCATAACCATGGGAGAAAACAATTACATGTGGCACCGATTAAGATGATTTGTTTTCCTTAACATATAGTATAACATTGAAAAGTTTTTGTCACAATTTTTTGAACATATATAAGAGTAATAAAATATACGCTAATTACACGAATCACAAAATTGCGTCGAGTTTACAGCTTTTTACTTGAATATATTCAAAAATTACGAAGAAGTATAGGATAATTTTAAAATTCATTCCACGTCGTTTGAGTTAAAATAATTTAAATTTTTCTGGATAAATCTCCACTATTTAAATATTTACTATCAAGAATAATTAAGAATTACGTGAACATGAAGAATAGTTACATTTAATTATATTACTCTATTGCTCTAAAAGTATCATACGTATCCATCAACAGATCAATACCTTAAACAATACAAATATTTATTTTATAAGAAAAAAAAATTATTATCTAGAATAAGGTAAATATGAAAAAGATAGATAATTTGAAAAAAAACTTAAATTCATAAATCCAATATCTTCAAAAGGAATCAAGTACGCGTATTGAAGTAAAAATAAATAAATTAAAGAGCACAATCTCATTTGTACTATTAGAACCACTTTATTATCATGTAAAAGAAAATATTCGTATTAACTTGCCCCTGTTTTTTTAATCCGTTAAAACTAGATTTTATATATTTTAAAAAATTATCATTTAATTTTTTCGTATTATTTAATATTTTAAAAATTAACTCAATTTATTTGAAATATGCAGTAACTCCTAATATTTAGAAAAAAGATACTAACTTAATTACGTTTTAGCTTTCTATGAACTATATACAAATTAAGACTTTAAAAGGATAGTAAGAATTTTTAACATTGTTTAAAATGTTATAGATGTTTTTAGAATCTAGTAGTAAATTTTTCTTTTACTACGTGCCTTTCGTTTAGTACTTACCTTGTTTATGTAAAAGATTTGTAATTACAAACAACAATTCTTTGAAAGAAAATTATGGACGTACTTTTCTAATTTAAGTAGGATCAACGTTGTAGGGTCGGCAGATGTATACTTTAAATCGAAAAAGAATTCCATCATTAGGTAATTTACCATTTAAATCCTTAAATTATACAAATATTTAAGGGCATAATAGTCGATCAATGTTTCAGGGATATTTTAGTCGTTCAACATTTAGCATAAATTATTCGTGCTTTTATAATAATATAGATAGATAGATAGATAGATAGATAGATAGATAGATAGATATAGATAGATATATTATTTTCTTATTATTTAGTTTTAAAGAAAATAGTAGGGAAAAAAGTCATATATGTCCCTCTACGGCAGAAAATAAGCTATATCTACCCCTCATTTTAATTCTTAGTATAATTATCCCTACCGTCATACTTTTGGGTCATATTTACCTTCCACCGTTAAATGACTTGGTCCCATCTTAAAAAAAGGCACATAGCTGACCCTGATTGGATAAAAAAGGCCCAGTCAATTTCTAATAAAAACCCACTCGACCCATACTAATTGTCACACCTCCTTTTTATCCGAGGAGGATATAAGGGAGTTTTTTGTGACGATCCAAAGGGTCATCACCTGTATTCCTACTCCCTCTGTACTTCTGAGGCCCTGAAAACCTCATTTGGGGTTGCCTCGAGTTGTGCGCGCAGTCCGGGCGCGTAGCCGGAAAGCTTAAATATGAATTCTATGTAAAAAAATTGATGAATTTCGATCTTAATATGATTAAAGTTGACTTTGGTCAACGTTTTGGGCAAACGGACCCGGACCCGTGATTCGACGGTCCCGGAGGGTCCGTAGGAAAATATGGGACTTGGGTGTATGCCCGAAATCAATTCCGAGGTCCCAAGTCCGAGAAATAAATTTTTATGTGAAATTGTTTTCTGAAAATAATTAAGGAATTGGAAAGTGGAATTTGATTAAAAGACTGTGGTATCGGGCTCGTATTTTGGCTCCGACGCCCGGTACAAGTCTTATATATGGTTTAAGCACTTGCTGTAAAGTTTGGTTGAATTTGGACGTCGTTTGACGTGTTTCGGACTTAAAACTCTAAACTTGATGTTTTATGAAAAATTGGAAGGAAATCATGGGTCTTGAGGTCTAATTTGATGTTTATGATGTTGTTTGGGCGATTTGATCGCACGGATGAGTCCGTAGGATGTTATTGAGTTTATGTGTATGTTCGGTTTGGAGCCCCGAGGGCTAGGGTGAGTTTTTGAGTAGGTCCCGGGAGGTCTTAGACTTAGAAAATAACAGATGTTGCAGGTTCGGGAATTTGCAGGCTCCAGCGCGCCCGCGGTCGCCTTAGCG